TTGTTCTGGAATTTCTTGTTCAACAAAGTATTTCGAAAGTCTAATTATAAAACACATGAGCAGTTCCAGTGCACAGTAATATTGTGTCCTAGTTGTCTTGCCACAGCTTTTGTCCAACAGTTACAATTGAAACTGGAACTGTAGGTTCTTCCCGTGCTCACTTTCCATACAGTATCATAGACATCTTTTAATGAATGTCTACCTAAAGACAAACATTTTTGACCATATATACGCGCTGTTTTATATTCGCTCAATGGTCCATTATCCCCGTCGGAGGACCATTCAAAAACACGCCAATATTCATCCATACCACCAACAACAATACAATGATGGACGCCTAACCCAAGGGCCTTTCCGATTCTCGCTGACCGAACTTGAACATCACCAACTTCACCATTTCGTCCATCTATATGACTCGTATGAGTATATCTTGTAGTTGATGCTATATGACCGGCGGAACTTCCCATTTTGCTTGTTTATGGTGTGGATTTCAGAGGTTTCTGAGTTGACTAGAAGAGAAAAAAAATGATAAACATTAAAATACAAGTTAACGCGACGCAAACGTCGCCCACCCTCTACTGAAAGGATATGATGCTGCAGAGATTGGGGTATTTGAGCAGAAAAATACAATAACTATTGTATTGGTATACATACTGGGTAAGGACTATTTAAAAAACTTCTATATTATTTTTGGATGGGACACATCAAATTATATTAGGAAAAACATTTCGACTTTTCTAAAACTTTCGTATGAAAGAAATCTGTGAAGACTATCGTATACAAGAATGATAAAAAAAAGAGCCACAATGCTGACCTGTACAAAGCCTTCTCTGATCTGTGGCACATTATATTCTTGAGTCAAGCTCTTTTCTTCTCACTTCACATTGAACTTAGACAAATGATAGAGTCTTACTTTAAAATCTTTTGTAATCCCTAATAAAAGTATTAATAAAGTGAAAACGTCAGCTTATCATCTTCTTTAGCAACTGCGATTTTTTATCACTAGTTGCTCTTGAAAACTCATTTTCTACAAATCCAAATCCAAAAACGCACGATAAGTTCATCGACATCTTCAAAATCTCATTTTCTCACACCGTAGCTTCAAAACACAAGATTGGCTCGAGTACCACTCCGTGAAATTTCCTTCGCCAACAATCCGCTCCGAAAAATGCCAGATTCCGCCAATTTCTTTGCCTCGCAATATACTTCATTGATGGCCCATATGAAAACAAACCCCTGATGGACTCAATTTCAGTTCCGCGAAATCCCATTGGCTAAGACCCCATCTCGGAAATCCTCGGATTGACCCGATTTCGGCGCCGCTAAATCACATCGACTGTTGGTCTATATCGAAAAAACTATAATTGGTTGAACTTCGGTTGCGCCGAATCTCATTCACTGATAGGCCATACCCACAAACACGTGATTGGCTCAGCTTCCCCTGCGCGAAATCTCATTGGCTAATCACCTATATCAAACCGTCCCTCGCTGGCTGGCATTCGGCTTCGCGAAACCCCATTGAGTGAGTGCCCATATCGGAAAACCCTTGGTTGGCTGGAGTTCTGCAGCACGACATCCACTTGCTTAATCGCCCATACCGCAAAACCTCTGATGCCTCGATTCCGGCTTCGCGAAATCCCATTGGCTAAGAGCTCATAGCGGAAAGCCTCTGGTTGGCTCGATTTGGCCTCTGAGAAGTCTCATAGGCTGAGAGCCCATATGAAAAAAACTCTGATTGGCTCGATTTCGCCTCCGCGAAATCCCATTGGCTTAGAGTCTATATCGAAGAACCTCTGATAGGTTCAATTCCGGCTTCGGCAAATCCTATTGGCTAAGAGCCCATATGAAAAAACCTCTGATTGGCTCGATTTCGTCTCCGCGAAATTCCATTGGCTAAGAGCCCATAGCGGAAAACCTCTGATTGGCTTGATTTCGGCTTCGTGAAATCCCATTGGCCAAGAGCCTATAAGGAAAAACTTATGATTGGCTCGATTTCGGCTTCTACAAATCCCATTGGCTAAGAGCTCATATCGGAAAACCTCTAATTGGTTCAGTTTTGGCTTCGCAAAATCCTATTGTCTAAGAACCCATATCGAAAAACCTCTAGTTGGCTCGATTTTGCCTCCGCAAAATCCCATTGGCCAACAGCCCATATCGAAAAAACGTCTGATTGGCTGGATTTGCTCTGCGCACAATCCCATTGGTTGATAGCCGATCTCGGAAAACCCTTGTTGACACGGGGAGTGAATTGTTCTCTACATTTTCACAAGTAACTCTGCTGAAGGTTAAAAAAACATTTTTTCGTTCTGTGTGAACGAACGAACGAAGTTACGAACATACGAACCTTGCTCGGTGTATGACCCTCCTTTCAGTAGAGGGAATGAAAATAATGATATACGAAAGGTTTGTCTAGAGTATATTTAACAAACATTCTATTTTCATGTCGCTGGAAGCAGATACTCTTTTTCTAGAATAGAATAAAATACACTTGCGGTTTATTAGAAAAAAAATCATGTTTCAGACTGAGATCATTTAGAAATGAAGTTCAGAAAAATCATCAAATGCATCTGAATGTTCGAGCACATATTAAGGAATTCCTCCGATTTTCTGACAAGAGACTCAATTTTGAATGGATCATAAGGTTTGATAGTCTACAGGTCCATGTGTCATAGGAAACATTATTCGACACTCGACAGCATGCTACTGCAAGGTTAATGAATTTTTTCTTTTACTCTATATAACGTAAAAAAGCCTAATTTTATGAATTTTGACTGATTACAACTCTTCTCTAATGAGTTAAACGAATTTTAATCAACGTTTTTCTAAGGAGTAAATTCTTAGAAGTCTAGGAAATATTCTCAATGAGAAATCTTTTGAAAACCTTCTTGGAAACTAAACATCCAGAAAAATGATTAAAAAAAATGCGATTATTATCATTGCACTTTATTTCTTACATTAAAAGATCTCATATTTAATATTGTGATTACGTTAAATGAATACTTCACCTCCTTAATACAAAAATAGTAATGATAAAATTAAAATTTAACGTAATCTCTTAGTTCAAAAACAAAGAAAACAAGTTTTTTCTTTTTTTCATTTTATTCAGCTAGCTGAACAATGTGTATCAGCATTATGTCGTATACAAAAACCATCAAGAATTTATCTTGAAAAATCAAGTCATAATCTTTTACATCATACGAATAACACATGTCCCGGTGATCATAATGATAATTTATGGGTTACATATAATGATTATCAACCACCTAAAACACAAATTGAATGGGAACAAACATGTTTCTTAGATAAATGTTATCATGGTTATTATGAATGGCCAAAAATAATTAAATATCCAATGAATAAACGTGAATGTTATACAAAAGAAACGATGCCTGAACATGTTGCAATTTTATATAATCAATTTATGAATAAAAAATTTTATTAGAAAACTTATACAATATATGGTTCTTGAAAATGAAGAAAGTGAAACAAGTTTTAATATACATCGATTTCGAATGTTTAAAGTAGATAATAGAATATTTTAAAATATGATTTAATATTAAATATAAACGTATTTTAAGGATCTTTTTCGAAATTTTGGTTTGGATTTAATTGATCATTTTATGGAACAACTAAATATATTAATTCATGAAAAAACTAAAGAAAAATACGAAGGTTGTCATCGAGTAGCAGCTGTGATTGTTGCTGGAATGATTTGAGGTTCGAAACATTGAACATTACAAATGGTTTGTATTTAAAAACAAAAAAAAAAGAATTTATTTATAAAATAAAAATCTATTCGATTTATTCTAGCTTGATGAATTATGGCAAAAAATAATTCCATTTCTTAATGAAGTTTGTGCTAATCTAAGTCCTTAAACTTTATCATATTGGGGTGCATGTTTTAAATTTGCCATGGTTTCTTTAAATAATAATTTCTTATTTTAATAAATAAATTTCTTTATCTTATAGGAAGATTTAGATCCTCGTCGAATGTATCGTCTTATTGAATTTATTCGTACATTAATAAATAATAAAACAACAGTTAATACATTTCTTGAAACATCACGTTGGTTTTTAGTTTTAAAATTAACTATTTTTGAATGGCGTATACCAGCTCTATGGTGTGCTATTAATGAATATGCCAAAGAAATTCTTGATCATCCATATAAAGCTGTTCGAGAATATATTGCTAAGTAAAAGAAAATAAATCATAGGTTATAATGAATAACAATTAATTTTCTTATTTGCATAGTGTTTTATCAGTATCACTTAGTTTCGACATTAAACTACCCAATGGTCAATCAACACGTTATCCCGATGCAAATCTTTTTATTGATGCTATTCGTGAACGATTACATCAAGCGATAGAAATTTACGAAAAAAAGCCATTAGGTCAATTTCTACTAAAAAATTAGTCTAAATTTTCTATCAAATAATCCATTCACTAATTTCAACTTGAAATATCTAATTTAACGAGATTTTGACATACAAAGAAAGACAATAGCTTTCTGGAGTAAGATTTCTTTGCCATTTTCATCTATATTCAGTTAACAAATGTCATTCGATCCCATATTTTGATTATGAATAGCACTAGATGAAATTTTAAAAAATCCATATGAATTCAGACTTATAGGCTAG